AAAAAAAAAAAAAAAAAAACACAAAAAATATGTTAATACATATATATACAGCTAACAAAAAAACATATACAAATCTTAAATAATAATTTGTAGTTGTACTGCCTTTTTAATGCGTGTAAGTAAAAACAAATCATATTATTTTAAAAATTATTTGATAAATTTGTTAAAGTAATAATATTATATTTAATATAATGAATAAATAACATACATTACAAATAAAAAACTCACATATATATATAACATAATAATAACACACAAACAAACTGTCAATTTAAACATAAAAATATATCAATCTAAACAAAACAACAACGTTTAATCGATAAAAAAACACACACAAAAAAAAAAAAAAAAAAAAAAAAAAACACAACAAATGTAACAAATATATATATATATAATAAAAAAAATTATAAACTCTAAAAGTAATTCGACTGCACGACTACACTGTCTTTTTAAAGTGTGTAAATAAAATAAAATCATTACAATTTTATAATTATTTAATATTTTTATTAAAATAATAATACGTATTTAATGTAACATATTACAAGTAAAAATAATAATAACATGTATAATGGCAAAAAAAAAACACACACACACAAACTAGCTTCTATTTAAAACTTCAAATACACTAATCTAAGAGAAACAACAACACTTAATCGATAAAATAGCACACACGTGTAAACTAAAAAGTACAAAAAATATAATAATATATATAATAAAAAATTATAACTATATATCTATACATAACTCTACAAGTACTGTTTTTGTTGAATATATCAGAAGAAAATAATGATTATATTCTAAAGTAATATATTAGTATTATTTAATAATTTTATTAAACTAATAATATAGTAGTATTTTAAATAGCAAATATTACATAACCAAACATCACATATATATATATATATAACACAAACCTCCTATTTAAATATAAAATAAACTAATATAAAACAAAATAGGAATGCTGGTAGAAAAATTACATAAATAAAAATAAAAAAATACAAATGTTTGTTTTAAATATATATATAAAAAAATAAAAATAAACCCTATAAACTATAAAAAAAAATAATTTGTCATCGTACTATCTCTTTTATATGTGTTCATAAAAATAAATCATAGGAGTATTATTTTTAAAATTATTTAATAAATTATTAAAGTAATAATATCATATGTAATATAAATAGCACATCTTACAAATAAAAAAAAAAATTACATATATAACGTAATAATAGTACACACAAGCTCTTAATTTAAATTAAAATACACTAATATAAATAAAAAAGCACTAATATAGTACACACAACGCTTAATTGATAAAAAAAGCACAACAAATATAGTAAATATATATAAAAACAAATATAAATTCTTTAAACTTTGAAAGTAATATGATAATTGCACGGTCTTTGTAGGTATAAGAAAATTATTAATATTTTTTCTAATTATTTAATAATTTTATTAAAATAAATATCATATTTAATAAAAATAGATAAATAGCACATATTATAAATAAATAAAAATTATTAATATTTTTTTTCTAATTATTTTAATAATTTTATTAAAATAAATATCATATTTAATAAAAATAAATAAATAGCACATATTATAAATAAATAAAAGCACATATATAATAAAATAAAAGTACATATACAAACTTTCATTAAAATTTAAAATATATTTATCTAAACAAAATAACAACGCATCATAAGTAAAAAATTACAAAAATAAAATAGAAAAGCAGAACAAATATTTAAACTATATATATAATAAAAATATATAAACCCTAAAAGTAATACGATAGCATAATACTTTTAATAAAAGAAAATCAATATAACTTTATAATTATTCAATAATTTTATTAAAATAATAATATTATATTTAACATAAATAAATAAATAGCACATATTACAAATAAAAAAAAAAAATCACATATATAATATAATAAAAGCACACACAAATTTCATGCTTAATCAAATATGAAAGCACACAAACACTATATTAAATTATTTAAGTATAATAAAATTACAATTCTATCTATATTGAAAGTGGATCGTCAAATTTGATGACTTCTAAATCTGGTAATTTATATTAAATCAGTATGATATTGAAAAAAAAAAAATACGTCAATACTGTCACCGTCGATAATAAAATAAAATAAAAAAAGAACAAAGTCTATGTTTCTTGTGAAGCCTAAGCAACCTTATTTTGGTATAAAAAGGTTCAAGCAATTTTATAAATGCTCAAAAAACAAGTCCGATATGCTATATGGTTATCGATTTATTGACATTAGTTTCTTCCACATAATTTTTCATCATTCGTGCTTATCCTGAATATTTTCATAGGAGCCCAATAGAATTCAAGAATTCTTTGTAAGCTAAATCATGTCCCTTAAAAGAATAATTCGTTGGGGGTAAAAGTAAATTTGCAGAATAAAAAAACTAGTAAATGTAGTATTTTTTTTTATTCCAACTAAAAATACATATTTTATTTTTTGAAAATATTGTACCTTCTGTCTCACAAGATCGGTATTATTTATTTTTTATGCATCTATATTTATTAATTTTATCTGTGCCAATTATAGAGATTGGTGGGCATGAAATGGAGATGACTTCCTCTAACCATCACCATAATTGGTGTCACTGGCACTGTAGCAATGCCATTTTTTGTGTTACTATTTTTCTTTTCTTTTTTCTTTTTAATTTTTAAAATTTTTGTATATTAATTATTTTTTTATTTTTTTATTTTTTTTGAAAAATAATATTAATTGTAGATATGAAAAGTTGTTTAAAATAATATATAGAATGGAATATTCGAAGAATATTCTTTTTGAAGTAGAAATAGAGTTGTGGGTTGGAGTAAAAATATCGTAGCAACTGCATTTTTTGAGTTAAAACGGTATAAATAGGGTTCGCGGTTGAAAATGCCTTAGTATCATATCAATTTGTAGTAAAAAGAAAAATACACTTCTATTATTGTTGTGTAATATAAAACTAAAAACATTTTAATAATATATTGTAAGTTGTAAAAGTATTTATTATATTATATAAATAGTACAATTACTAAATTATATAAGAAACAACATCATTATTTTAAGACCGACAAAAATGAAAAAGATACCCATTTTACTTTTGATGATATTCGATTCAAATATACCAGTTAGTAAGTAACTTTTGTATGTAATTTCTTTTTTTTTTTTTTACTACGTTCTTCCAACACTATTTTTCATTTGCGATTCTCCAAAAATAATAATAAAAATAAAAATATTTATTTACAAAAATAAAAAAATCGAAAAAATTTTCAAATACTAATTACAAAAAGTAAAAAAATAAATATTCAACTTAAAATAATACTCCCTCCGTCCAAGCAAAAAATATACATTTATTTTTGGCATGGAGTTTAAGAAATAATAGTACTTTAATTATAATAGGTAGGTAAAAGTAGTGTAATGATATTTTTGCCCTTACATTTTTGGTATAAAAATACTGATGTGATGTAAAGTAAGAGTATTTGTTGAAAAAATGAGGTATTTAATGAAATGTTTAGTTTGTAATTGGACATATATACTTTCTAACTGAACGTAGAAAATATATTTTATATTTTTTACAGAATTCTTTGTACTACACACAAAAAATCAATAAACAGATTCGTTTTTGATATGTAAATTTGATATAAAAGTATAAACTTAAGAATATCTATAATATTTCAATGTGGTTCATACTTATATAATATATATCTTATTTTTGGATCCGTCTCAATAAAATGTACTTTTTTAAAAATTTTTTTATAATAAATTAAAAAATAATATTTATATTTTATTAATTAATAAAAATATATAAGAAGTTTTAATATTTTTATCATTTAATTTTATATGTAAATTGTACATGTAATAATATATTACTCTCCCGTCTCAAACACCGTGCAATATTTGTGTTTGACACTGGAATTTAGGTGGGGAGTATTAAGTACGGTAATTTAAGATAATTTGGATATTGAGTGATGTGATTGGAGAGAGATATGATTATTTGTTTTTTTTTTATTTGAATGATGTGATGGGATAAAGTGAAGTGTATATTAATATATGTATAAAAATATTATTAATTATTTTTAAATTTGGAAATGTTGCAGTGAGTTTGGAACAAATAAAAAATAAAATATTGCACAGTGTTTGAGATGGAGGAAGTATAATTTAAGTAAAATTTAAAAATATTTTGATATTAATGTATAATCACATTTATTAAAATATAAAATAAATACTTTTAAAAAAATCGATAAAAATAATAAAAAAATACTTTAAATTGAGATCAAATAAAATATATTTTTATTGAATAGACGAAACAAATATATATAATGTAGAAAAAGTGTTTGGCTCACATCACAAATGATCACATGGGGTTTCTCCAAATATGCATACATGAACATCCATCTACACGTTTGCATTTTTGGACTTTTATTCCCACCCCACCCCACTAATCTCTCCAAATTTTCCCATTGGATTCTTCCCAATATCCACCTCTCAATCATTTCCCAACATGTGCATAAATAAATAAACAAATACCTATTTTCATTTTTATGGGTTTTTGTATTTATCGGCCTAATAATAATAATAATAATAATTGTGAGACTTATTTATTTATATTTGAATATGTAATTTTACGAAAATAAACACAACTAACATTATAGTAATAAATACAACCAATTAATATCAATGTTTAATTAAGGCCGTGTTTGTTTCTTTTTATTCATTTTAACGGTATTTTAATTGTGTATATAAATTTATTGTAAATCAATAACACGGAAATTTCACAAAAAATGCATTAAAATTCACCGCCAACTTATTTTATAGTATATCAAAAAAAAAGCAAGGTGGCGATGGGATGGCAAGTTGGGACACGTGGCATAGGAAACTGGGGGGCTGAACGGTGATTGGGTGGTGCATTGCGCCGGTGATGCAGGCGAGCTGAGTGGGCCCCATCGTCACCACCAATAATTGATCGAATTCTCTCTCCTAATAATCAAACCCATCTGTGTTCTTGCTGGCACGCCACAATCGATCCAATCGACTCCTTCTTCTTCTTCTGCGAAGTCTTCATCGTCGAATCGATTCTTCCTCTTAAACCCTAAACCCTGCGCCGTATCCTCCCATGTTACAGTGCTGGAGATGGTGATCCCATCGCCATGGTTGCCACGCTTGCTGCTCGCGGTGTTCGTCCTCTTCTCCGCGTCAATGGCGGCGATAGGGTCGGGGTACGGTTCTGATTCGGATACGGATTCGGATGTCTACGAAGTTCTGAAGAGCCACGGACTTCCGACGGGACTGCTCCCCAAGGGAGTGACGAATTTCAGCCTGAGTAGCTCCGGCGAATTCGAGGTGCACCTGGATCGGGCGTGTAATGCGTTGTTCGAGAACGAATTGCACTACGACATGAACATTTCCGGCGTCCTCGGCTTCGGTAAGATCGACGCTCTCTCGGGTATTTCCGCCAAGGATTTGTTCCTCTGGCTCCCCGTGATTGCAATCCGCGTCGATATCCCTAGCTCCGGCGTGATTTACTTCAACGTTAGCGTCGTTTCCAAGCAGTTCTCTCTCTCCTCGTTCGAGACTCCTAGGGATTGCTTGGCCGCTCCCAGCCCCGATCTCCACAACCGTATCATCGCACAGCCTGCTCCCGAGGTCAATTATGTTTCGTAATCATTCATGGAATTTGGGGATTTTGTTGTTACAATACCTAATTGCTTGCTATTTCATCGATTTACTCAATTTTGTCGAACTATATCTGTTTCGATTGTTGAAATTACTGTGCTGAATAAACGTTAGAGAAACAAAATAGATTGGATCATAACTATGAACTGAAGCGATTTGCTCTATGCTAATGAACAATATCACAAGCTTTATCTGGTGTCTCGATCGATTTCTTGTTCGAGAACTAACTAGAATTCAGTTTCTCCCTATTTACTCGTAATCGAACTGTTCGATCGACAGTCAAGTTGAATGTGGTGTCGCTGCATTGCTTGTTGAGGATCTAATTACTGACCTGTGCCTTTGGTTGATCAGATTCGATCCGGGAGACGTTGGTTTTGGCGTGAACGGGATAATGCTGCAAGAACAATGTTGTAGCTTTTGGATGGACAGACAAGCACGATGCACAGTAGCTCAATCACGTTCTGTGATTTCATATCTTGTATGTACAGGTCTTGTTTAGAGATCATAAATTGTTTCATTCGAGTGTGCGTTCTTGTGGTTGCCTGTGTATTGCCGAGTCTTCAAACTAGTCGTTGGCGCCTCACCTGTCGGTGACACAAATTATGCGCGATGAGATCGGAGGGTTGCAGCCAGGAAGAGATAATCATAAAACATACTGTACATCTGTTTTGTGGAGGCAGATAGAGGAGGAGAGGACAGTGAACAAGCAAGGATATCTGGTTCGAGGAATCAGGTGATAAATTTCTTTGCCACACAGTTTGTTACGACACCATTATTGATTACGAATACAGGCAATTGCTGAATTGGTTCTCGTTTTTGCAGTGTAAGAAAGAATTGTTAGTCAGTGAGCTATACATGTTTGATGGAAATAAATAGAAGTTTCCTTTTTTTCGCATTCGACCTGTGTTTCCTGTTCCGTTACATCTGTTATTTCTCTACCTATGCAAAATTTCGATCTGATTCATTGATGTGGTAGTTGTAAAAGATCAGCTGAGGCGAATTTCGTATTACGGTTAGCGATTAATTGCAGTGAAATTGTATTTTTGTGATGGATGAATTTGGTTTGTGTTGAACATTTGATCCTATGATGAAATAATGTCTGAAGATCGTTGGAAGTTAGGTAGGTGTTTGGGACAAGATGTTGTTAGTACGTAAGATTCGAACATTATTGTTATTATCCTTTTGTCATCACAAAAGTACTTGTGATGTTTATGTTTGTTTGGGAGTAATATTAGTGCCAATCTCTTTTAGCTTTTAATATTTTGGAAGATACAAATCACGTGTCTGTTTGTTGTTGTGTGTTTCACGAACGTGTCGAGTAGAGTCAAGCTTTTTACTGCGATCGAGCTTTTGTCTGTTTGGACAGCGTAAAAAGATGGGATCGAAGTTTATGCATTTTGTGTTTTAACTTAAATGTATGCACTCTTGAATGAATGTATCAATTTAGTGTTTAGAGTATTAATAATTTTGTTAACAATCCGCCTGAACAGCGAAATCGTCAACTTTTTACTTTTGCAACAAGTTTGTAGTCAAATTGGAATAATTTTGATGTGAATAGTCAAAGTGGTAATTATTGATTGCAGAGTCAAACAAATTCACTCTAATGTGCTGCGAATAGCAATAATCATTGTCATCGTTATAGCTGTCCAGTTAAATTCGCCAAAGTTTACTCACGAATAGCCATAATTCGATCTTGGCATCGATGTGCCATACGAATAATGTTGTCAGTTCCAGGGGCCATTCAGTTGTTGTTTCGCTAAAAATAGTTATATCTAGGTGTTATCTTAAAGACGTCAGCAAAGTACGGATTGTAGAACATCTGCGAACAAGTATTCAAACATAGAAACAAAATATGAATATAATCTTTTGTACTTTAAAATAGACAAAAATATTATATTATTGGGTGACAGAAATATTTGATCTCCGTGGATTTTGGTTTCATGATTTGATGTGTTTTTATACCCACATTTGTTTTCATGTTGGGCTATGGGGTATACTTTTGACTTGAGAAGTGCTTCACTTAAAGCAGCCCCACTTCGTACTTGCATAGGTGATATCCTATGAGTATCCTGTCATTTTCTACGCCTAAGAACAATGAGAAGCCATTAAAAGTTCAACAATTAACCTACATCACTGACATGAACATTAACATTTGTTGTTCGTACTTTTTCACTCGAGAAATGATAGAAGATGTATCTTATAAGTGTTGCAATGCGAACTGATGTAGCTTGATTTTCCCATTGAACCAAGTTTGTTGAATCTCCACTCATCATGGTTGAGCGTCCACTTCAATTGCTCATAAGTCTAATTTTTCAGACCCATTCATTCGAGCAACTTTTGAAATTGATCTCGGTTTATACCTTTTGTTAGCGGATCCACTAGGTTATCATTAGACTTCATATAATCTAATGAGATTACTCCTTGTGAGATCAATTTTCGCACGGTATTATGTTGACGATGAATGTGTCGTGACTTACCGTTGTACATCACATTTTGTGCTCTTCCAATCATCATTTGGTTATCCCAATGCATCATTATTGTAGGTATAGGTTTCTTCTAACATGGAATCCTTTGTAAGAGTTCTCGAAGTCACTCAATTTCCTTATTCGGTTTATCCAACCTGATAGGTTCCTATTTCATGGAGGATCAGGCTACGCATATTTTCTTAACCGATTTCACAGCATAATACCTCATTTAATCGTAAACACATATCGAGTGAAGAATGAGTCACTTTGGTCTAATATCTAACCAGTAATGGAATAACTTTTAAGTGCTGAAACTTATTTAAAAAATCATAACCTTAGGTTTTGAGTATGTTTTAAATATCTCAAAACTCTCGTAGTAGCAATATGATTATCTCTACTTAGATCGCTAGAGTATCTCCTCAATTTATTCACTGAGTACGCAAGATCGAGATACAATTCCTTTAGAACATTTAACACTTTGTGGTAATTCTTTTGAGCCACAAGGTTACCCTAATTTTGCTCTATTTGATGCTCGGGTCAAATGAAGTTTCCACCCAATAGTCCACCACATATACTAAACTTTCTTAAAACTTTAATTGAATAGTGAAGTAATGTTAAGACACTTTTCTTTGGACGTCTAATTATTGATCCAAGAATCAGTTTTGCAAATATCCAAATCTTTCATGTCAAATATATATATTTTTTAAATCATTTATCTTGGTTATACAATGAGTCGTTGTTTACACTGTCCACGATCAACACATCAACTACACAGGGGCAAACTAGTTCAAAATGGTTAGAATCTCTTTTGTAGTTAACACTTTTATCGTACTCATTGTGATTGAAACCTTTTGACAACATCATTTTGCCAAATTTCAAGTGCTACTAATTTGGCACCTATTTGAGTTTATGAATTTAACAAGTTTGCACACTTTTTCAAGTATTGAAAACCTTTAGGTTTGTTTTATGTATGTCTTATCCTCTAGGTCATCATTCAATAATGCAGTCTTGACATTCAATTAATAAACCTCTAAATTGTGCAAACAAATAGCATAAGAGACATCATAGTTGAGATAATTCTAGATATGAGATAATATACGTCATAAGTTATGTCCCTACTTTAAGGCCTTTAACAACCAATTAGGGCCATAAACTTCTTAACCAAATCATCGGTTTTAGATTTCCTTTTGTAAGACCCATTTATATCCAATGGGCTTATAACCTTTTGGAAGATCAATTAAGATCCAAATGTAATTTTAAATGATCGAATCAATTTTGTCATTTATCACTTCTTGCCAGAATTCAACATCGGGTCTCAATATTGCTTCTTTCATTGTCTTCCTCTTTTTATATAACATATAAATGTTGATGTTTGGGTCAAAGTCTTTGGATATTTTAATTTTTTAAGTACGTCTTGGTTATTATTTCCAAGGGTCAGGACACACCCTTCGTATTCTTTTGAGAACATTTATGAGTATCATTCTTATCCTTGTAAGGGAATATATTTTCAAAAGAAATATATTTCTTGACTCCATCGTCATCCCTTCACGTATGCAAGAGATTTTCAACTTATGAATGAGAAAAAACACGCGCTATTGTCAAGTATTTATCTCACAAATATGCAATCAACTAGTTTTGGACCGATAGCAAAGCATCTTGACCTTATACAAACACCACCCACATCTTGAGATATTTTTTGAAAAGCTTATAGTCTTTTCCATAATTAGAAATGATCTATGTCCTTACTTTTAGGGGGGTTTTACTAAAATTTGATTCACCATCGATGTGGTTCCCCCATGCATGCTCTAAGACATTTTTTGGAATGCTCATGACCTTTCTATGACTCGTAAGAAAACTATATCTTTACCTTTTGGGGAAATTATATTTGAATCTAATTCACGGTCAATAGGGTTTTTTTTTTTTTATATGTTAAGAGATCATTTTGAACCTTTCAACAAGACATTCATCATGCCATTCGATATTCGGTTTTTGCATTTTGCGAAACTGTTCACTACAATGAATATGGAATCATCGTTTGATAAATCATGTCATTGGTGGCACAAGAATTTTCAAACAAAATCATGTATTCGATAAATTTATCGTTTTGAATATCTTTAATTTTGACGCTAATTAAACTTTCAATTTCATTCTTGAAGTTTTTAATAACTTTAAAGATTTTTGTCTCTACTTCCAATAAATAGAGGCAACAATATTGGGCACAATTATTCAAAAAAATGACGAAGCACTCTTTACTCCCTCTAGTTTGAATAAATGTTAATATGAATACGTTGGTGTGAATTAACTTTAGAGGCACAATATTTCTTTCATTACTTGGACATGGTTATTTTGTTGATTTTACTTCAACACGACCCTCAAAATTTGATCATAATCAAAATCCATTTCCTTTAGTAAGTTTAGACTTACTAATCGCTTTATGAAAATTTTATTACATAGAATCTTATGAAGAAATTTATAAATCCAAGCACAATTAAGAATCCAAGTCATACATCTTTCAAAAAAAAATTATGTAAGAAAAATCAATTTATTTGTGATTATCTTTCTTTTATATCCACATCAACACATATCATGTATTATGCTATCTCATAAGAAAATTTAACATATATCAATAATAGACTAAAGCTATTACAATGTCATAGGGCTAATAAAAATAACTTTAGAAATGCACCAATAAAGTTTAAAGAAACAATAATATATTGCAATAATTAATATTAAATAATCAGGGAACTCATATAATCAATCAACACAAAAATTTCAATATATTAATATTCACCTTCACAAGAACAATACACAAATATATATATATATAGAGAAGAGTTTAGCATTTTACCTACGGATCGACTCCTACAAAATTTGAATCATAAATTTTCATTTAATTTCGCAATCAGTTTCCTACTCTGATATCATTGTTATAAACTAATTTCAAGATCAGTGGGTTTTCGAAAAATACCTCATAGATGCAAAATGATACATTTTGATTAGGAAAATTAAAATTGAATAAACTCAAATTAATAATACAGAATCGTAATTGAAATATATATAATCTAAAGGCTAAAAATTAAAATTGAGAAAAACGAGAAAACAATCCTTAAATAAAGTAAAACATAAGCAAAATGTTATGTATGTGTTTGTTTTCAACCAGAGAGACAAATTTAGTTGTTCATCCAATTTTAGACCAACTCTACTAGCGATAAGGAGTGTCAACGAATAGTCGAGTTTTGTACTTTTTGGTGGAGGTATGGAGTTTGATTATAAACTTCACCATTGGATTGGAAGAACAATGAATTAAAAGTATTTTTTAAAAAATTTCAACTTGATTCGGCGATTAATGAAGCGGGAGTCGCCATTTTTTTCAAAGCTACGCATTCTTGTACATATATTCTTTCTTTTCTCCTTTTACTTCATTTAGCTT